TCAGTTGATTGATACAGTAAACTTATCCTTGGTTGTATAAACAGAGGCATAGAATCAAAAATCACATGAAGTATTAGTACCGCTTTATAAAGCATAGTAAGGTCACACCTGGAATACTGCATCCAGTTTTGGTCGCCACATTATAAAAAAATGTTGAGACTTTGGAAAGGGTGCAGAGAAGAGCATCTAAGATGATTAAAGACCCGGAAACTAAAACATATGAAGAATGGTTGCAGGATTTGGATTTGGCTAGTCTAGAGAAAAGAAGGACTCAAGGGGACATGGTAGTAGTATTCCAGTATTTTAGAGATTGCCAAAAAGAGGAGGGGGTCAACTTATTTTCCAAAGCACCAGAGAGCAGGAATTAAGGAAAAAAATTCTAAGTGTGAGGACAATTAATCAGTGGAACAGCTTGCCTTCAAATGTTGTGGGTGCTTCATCACTGGAGGTTTTAAAAAAGAGACAGGACAGTCACTTGTCTGAAATGCTATAAGGTCTCCTGCTTGAGTAGGGGGTTGGACTAGAAGACCTCCAAGGTCCCTTCCAGGTCTATTCTGATTAAATCAACACAAAATAAAACATGACAGCATAAGAGAAAGAGGCGAGTCACCTTTTGTTGCTTATACAAATTAGTTAACATAACCCTAATTGCATCCAAAGGCCTCATAACATGCATTGTCTTTCCGAGCAGGGTTAGAGAGTTCAAGGAATGTGGGTAGTACAGCTTATTCATTCAAATCACCAGGACCAGATGGATTACACCCCAAAGTTTTCAAGGAACTGGCAGATGTGATCTCAGAACCACTGAATTATATTTTTCAAAGATCTTGGAGCACTGGGGAACTACCAGAGGATTGGAAAAGAGCTGATGTAGTTCCCATCTTCAAAAAAGGAAAAAAAAAATGGATCCAAGAAATTACAGACCTATAAGCCTGACCTCAATACCTGGGAAGATTCTGGAAAAGATAATCAAACAACGAATCAGCGAACACCTAGAGGCAAACAAAGTCATTACTAATCATTACTGATCCCACCAGTTTTTGCTTACAGGCAAATGATATTTTTTGCAGATCTTCCAATGCACCATTGTTGCTACTTTGTCATGCCGCTGCTTGTAATCAGTTTGTGCAATCTTCTTGCAACAGCTTACCAAGTGGTCCACTGTTTCTTCAGCTTCTTTGCATAGGCGGCACTTACTGTCTGTTGCTGTCTTCTCAATTTTGACTTTGTATGCATTTGTCCTTAAGTCTTGGTCTTGTGCAGCCAGAATTAGTACCTCGGTCTCTTTCTTCAATTTTCCTGCTCTTAGCCATTGCCAGGTTTTATTATTATCTGCTTTCCCAGCTATTTTTTTCATGTATTGGCCATGTAATGCTTTGTCTTCCCATGCCTCTATTCTGTTCTTCATTTGGTCTTTCTTGTAGGCCAGTTTGGTCTCTCCAGTGGTTAGTAAGCCTTCCTGATATACTAATTTCAGTGCATCTTCATCATTGTTCTTCAGATATTCTTCCAAAGCCATTTTTTCTTCTTCAACCATCTGATGTACTTGTATCATTCCACGCCCACCTATTTGCCTTGGTAGATAAAGTCTATCAATGCCACTGCGTGGATGAAGGGCATGATTCATTGTCATTATTTTTCCGGTCTGCCTATCCATTGCTTTTAGTTCTGCTTGAGTCCAGTCCACTATTCCAGCTGTGTACCTAATGACTGGGATTGCCCAGGTGTTGATTGCCTTTATGGTATTTCCTCCTTTGAGTTTGGATTTTAAGATCTTCTTCACTCTCTTGATGTATTCACCTCTAATCTTTTTCTTGACTTCATTGTGCTTGATGTTGTCAGCTTGAAGGATACCCAAGTATTTGTAGTATTCTTCCTCATCCAGACTCTTAATGTTATTTTCGTGGGGCATCTTGATTCCTTCAGTTTTCACTATTTTTCCTTGTTTGATAGTAAGTGTGGCACATTTGTCCACGCCAAACTCCATTACAATATCTTGGCTATATATACGGACAGTGTTGAGCAGCGATTCTATTTCAGATGATGTTTTTCCATACAGCTTCAGATCATCCATATAAAGGAGGTGGGATAGTCTGGCAGATGTTTTTGATGTTTGATAGCCATGTCCTGAGTTATTCAGTATTGTTGACAGAGGAAATTATTATTATTATTATCATTATTATTATTATTTCTGAACACATTTTGTACTATTGGAGACAGCTCTAACAAAAATGATTGTTAATGATAGGATGGGGACAGTATACAGTTCAAACCAATAGTTAATGCTTAGTTATCATTCAGTAATTGCTTGTTGCAGAAGAAAAAGGGAAGGGGAGAATCCAAAAAGTGTTTGATTATGTTGTTGTGGCTGTCATCTTGAGTTTTTTTAGCCTCTAGAACACTCCCCGCTTTCTGTCTACTTCTACCTTCGTAGAAACTAGATGTCTGAGAAGTGATAACATGACCTGTGGGAATCCCAGTGTTGGGATTCAAATACATGAACAACTGGTTCTCTGTGTGGATGCCACTTCCAGAATTCCGTTCTGGGCCTGGGCAACAAAAAATTAGCTACCGGTTCAGCCGAACTGGTACAAACTGGCTGAATTCCACCACTGTGTGGGGCCCTTGGTGCTGTCTGAGCTTAGTTGTTTTTGGAAGATGTTTCATTACCAAACTAAATAACATTGGTCCCTTTTAGCACTAATGTTGTTACCTAGTTGGGTAATGAAATGTCTGCAAGAAAACAACCAATCTCAGAGAGCACAAAAGAACCCTTAGTTCAACCCAGAGCTACAAATATTGTCTTCTAGTAATGACCTGACCATGGCTAACACTGTGGCTACTACCCATTGGTTAGCCAAATGAGGGTTATTTTAAAATGAAGAGTAAATTTTTGGATCATGACTAACAGATTTATTATTATTAAATTTATATGCTTGCCCATCTCACTATCCAAAGCAATTTTGGGTAGCTTTTTTCTGGCAGAGATAGTTAAATATTTCTTTACTACGTAATGCTATTAAATAATTTGCTTTAGATGAATTTTTGTATTTTTTTCATAGAAATAGAAATATTCTGCATAAATTTATGTTTAAATTAAACATTCTTAAATGATTGGGCAACCTCTTTAAGGACATTTATTCTGCTTGATATAAATGATTGATCAACCAAATTAATTTATATCTTCTTGACTTGGTCAAACATAATTTAACTGTTCGAGAATAAAACTTGTTTTTACCTGTTAGTTTGAATCATTCAGGAAGATGAAAAAAGGAGATATTGCTTTGAATTCCCTGAAAAAGATTTATTGTATCAGAATTTATAGTTCAGAATTTAAATTTTTGCAAACATAAATATAACAAAACATATGTTTGATGGGAAAATCCTATGCCAAGAAGCGATTTCAATTAAAAATAATCCATTCTTTCTTATTCTTTGACAACCAAGACGTGCAACCAAGAAAAACATCAATTCTTTCTTTCACATCCTGTTCATTCTCTAACATATTTATTTTTGTCAGAGCAATGAGAGCAATTAGTCAAATTTGCCTTATCTCAAAAACATAAGTGTAATATGATTTCATTAATATTTGGATAGGAGACCCATCAGAAATCCAGAGCTGTAGACCACATTTTGAAATCAAAATATCTGAGAAAAAGACAGTGGCAAATCATTTCTCTACTGTTGCCAAGAAAAGAAAATTTAATTTGAGTAAAATGTTACTTTATACCTGTATTTTACCTGTACCCACAATTGTTAGCAATTTCACAAATGTTTTCCCTCTACCAACTTTTTTTTTTTTTAAAATTAAAACTGTTTTTATAGTACCAGACGTAATTCACTTTGGGGTGAAACTTGCATTACATTATATAAAGATTTTACAGTTGTACATTCACATGTCTTGTTACGGTGTAGCCTTGGATGAATAAATATTCTGTTTTTGTGGACAGTCTGATGAGAAGGGTGGGAGGAGGACTGTGATTGCTTACCTAAAGAGCACTCACATATACTTCAATTGTTATTATTGAAATTCCTCATTTGTATTTTTCTTCCCTAGCTGGACATTTTGGTAGTCTTATGTGAAGAGAAAAACAATATACACACATAAATATATTTTCTAAAAAAACATAATTATAATTTAAATTATAAGCTATTTTGTGTTTTTGAGTAACGTGGAAATTCCAGAACGTAATTCAAGAGTTCATAAATCTGTTGAATACACCATGCCTTGAAAATTGTCAGTGGATCCCTTACTGATTGTACGGAGTTGCATCTATAGAGGTCCCTTGCTTTTATTTTACTGGTCTTGAGGGAACAACTAGAGAGGTATCTATACTGTGGTTATCTAGGAAGTTAGTTAAGTTAGTAACACAGTTGTTAAGTGAATCTAGCTTCTCCATCAACTTTCTTTGTCAAAAGGTTGCAAAAGGGGATCATGTGACCCCAGGACACTGCAACTGTCATAAATATGAGTCAGTTCCCAAGCATCTGAATTTTGATCACGTGACCATTGGCATGCTACAACGGTCATAAGTGTGAAAAATGGTCATAAGTCACTTTGTTCAATCCCATTGTAACGTCGAACGATCGCTAAATGAGCTATTATAAGTCAACTACCTGTATTTAAAAAAATGAAGCATAATATACTATTAAAACGGTCTTACACAATTCAAGTAAAATATTGAAGTATTATTAAAGCAACTGAATTGTAAATCCTAATGTATTTGTGATTGTGCCTCTGCGCCTGATTTCACTCTGACAGAAAAGGAACTTGTTGAACAAATATTGCCATGTTTAGATCAATAATACATTTTTAAAATGTTGCAAAATTGCCAATAGATCAATGTAACTCGTGCCTGAACTAATAATGAAAATATAAATCATTTGAAGAGAGGGAGCAAATATTTTTAATTGTACTAAGCTGTAAAGCAAGTGAAGTGTTTTACCAACTACTTTATTTTTTTTCTTTCTTCCATTAAATTATTACAGGTTTTTGAGTCATGATGCAAGAATCTGGAACTGAGACAAAAAGTAACGGTTCAGCCCTTCAGAATGGAGCAAGCACTGTCAACTCCCTACTAGATTGCACCCTACGCGAAGTAAGACCCAACGGAGAGACACCTTCGGTGGAAATTAGTGCTGCGGATTTTGCCCATCTTCAGCAACAGCAGGTACTGTAAAATATACTACTAATATTTTACCAACTTTGAAAGATTCTTGTATACAGAAATAAAGGTTGATGGATTTTTTCACATCATAAAAATGCCGTGGTATTTTCTAGCAAATAAATACTTTAAAGCATGCATTTATATGATATTAGTTGATTGGCATTCTGCAGAAGTAAAGCATAACCTTAAAGAGAAGGAACTGTATCATATCAACTCCTGCGCTACCAACATTTCACTGGTAGAAATAAGCCTAAGTAGATTTCTTCGCTTTAATAGTGAACCGAATATCTCTGGTATAAGAAGCACTAAACCAGCAGCCCCCAATCGCCGGAGACCGGTTCTGTGGAGAGAGGTTTTTCTGCAGACCAGAGGGAGCCTGGTTTCACGCGCTCTTTGCGTCCCTTGCATGAGCAGGTGGGGCTTCGCTCGTTTGTGCAGTCCGGTTTCTGACATGCCGCAGATTAGTGTGGGTCTGCAACCCAGGTATTGGGACTCCTGCACTAACTACGAGGCTTGAGTAAGATAGCATGACTGATAATTTCATAAATCTTCATTAATAATACAGGTGTTCCAGATGTGTTCTTATTTTCCCCCAAAGTGTAGCATTGATTATAGAAAAAGGAAATTATTGCAATTTGAATTGTGTAATCATTCAGTATTGATAATCAGGTGCTCTTTACTTTGCTAATGGAGGAGGTGGTTTCCTCTAAGAGTACAACAGGATGCCTACTTTAATCCTCATGAGTAAGCATTTGTATTTATTGATTTCCAACAATTAAATTACGTTTATTGCTAGATATTCCATTTATTTTCTGTGTTAGTCCTTGACTGAACAAAACAGTTTTGAGTATGAATTATTTGAATACTTGCTTGTATGAGAAGAATAGGTCAGGCTAACAGCAGTATCATTGCAAGTTTAACACAGAGACACTTAATTTTAAAAATTCTGTTGAATAGTACTGGCACTGCATAACATGGGAATATATATATAATATGTAGTATCTGTGAAAAGATGCAAATGTTAATTCTACTTAAAAAAAAAACCTTGGTCTGGAGTTTGGAATAGTCTTGAAGACTTTGACAGCTGTGGAGTCATTTTAGTGTGCATGATGATCTTGTCAGCAGATTGTTGTGTGGTAGAAAAAAAAGCTATGACAAACTTGTTTTTTTTTCCCTGGAAAAAAACATTTTAACATAAATCCCCTACATTTAGAGGCTTGAGTTTTTCATGATACTAAATTCAATGTACAGTTGTTTTCTTCTTGTAGATTTTTTTTTAGGTGAGAATGCAATCATTAAAAATATCACAAGCATGCTGAATTCCTTTCTGCAGTAGTCACACAAAACCACGGATAACATTTCAATAAGTGCAGGCCACAGTAGAGTAAACAGTTGCACTGAAATTTAATTCCTGTTGACTTTTCCGTCATTCTTGGCCAGGGGCACATTCTGAATTGTACTGCAAAGACAACAGGGGTTACAGCTTTGATTAATCTAGGGCACTGGAAGAGAATTAGAAGAGTAAAATATGTTGGAAGTATTCAGGACACCAAAGCTTTTTTTTCTAAGAGGCTTGTGATCAAAATAAACTAACTCATATATAATTATACAGCTCTGCTTTTCAGTTTGTTATTTTCCCATCTTTTTTTCTGGTGTTATTTTGCTTATATGTAGCATCCTACAACATTAAAGTACAAAGCCCTACTTACTCCCTTTTAGATAAACAATGTTATAAGCACAAAAAAGGGAATAAGAAGTAGTTAGCCAAAGCAATTAAAAGAAAGAAAAAGGGGGAAAAAAGAAACATAGCATAATCTAGTTTACAACAGCACCATTAACTATACCTATCTTGTACTTTTTTTAAAAAAATATTATTTTTACAAATAACCCGAGGTTGCAAATATATCCAACCCATCTTTCTCTTTTCTCTCTATTTTCCCCACAACAACAACCCTGTGAGATGGTTTAGGTTGAGAAAGTTTGATTGGCTCAAAGTCACCCAGCTGGCTTTCATGGCTAAGGTGAGACTTGAGCTCATGGTCTCTCGTTTTCTAGCCTGGTGACATTTAGACCAAACTGGCTGTCGTTACCGTGGCAAGCCATTGTTGCTCCTGCTCCATCCATACACCACTTCATATATTGTCTTTTATTCTTTAAACTTCTCAACTCTCCCTTGTTCAGAATCTCATCAGTTCCAACCACCATGAGTTTCTTGGTTCACCCCCTCTTGACCTATTCACTCTCCCTTTATATATTTGTTTTGTGATTTGATCCTCATTTGTTCTCTCTACATCACCAACCTGCTCAATATACTTCTTTCATACAAGATCATTCACTTTTGTATTCACATTCATCCAGAACCCATTCACTCCTGACCCCATCGTTTCTTGTTTTGCCACACACAGTTCTTAAGTACCCATTCCTATTGCATTCAATCTCCTGACATAGCTATCTCTCACATCCAGTAACAAACTGTACAAAACCTCATTAACATACATAGCCACTTTCACTTACTTTGAAAAATATTCATGCAGCAGACCACATACTATACACAACACACACCCATTGCCCTACTCCTTTCAGTATTAAACCATTCACCAAGGATATAATTCATTGTTCTGCATGTTTTAATTTCATTATATAGGTAGTCCTTGACTTACAACTACAATTGAGCCAAAAAATGCTATTGCTAAGTGAGACAGTTAAGTGAGTTTTGCCCCATTTTACAAATCTTTCTTGCCGCAGTTGTTAAGTGAATCAGTGCAGTTGATCACTCAGTCAATCAGAATAGAGCTGGAAGGGACCTTGGAGGTCTTCTAGTACAAACCCCTGCTCAAGCAGGAGATCCTAAACGCTTTCAGACAACTTCTGAAGACAAGCTGTACACTGGTTAATTGTGTTGATTGTTAGGAAGTTTCTCTTTAGTTCTAGGTTGCTTCTCTCCTTGATTAGTTTGCATCCATTGTTTCTTGTCTTGCCTTCTGGTGCTTTGGAAAATAAGTTGACCCCCATCTTCTTTGTGGCAGCCCCTCAAATACTGGAACACTGCTATCATGTCATTCCTAGTCCTTCTTTTCTCTAGACTGGCCATACTCAATTCCTGCAACCGGTCTTCATATATTTTAGTCTTTAAGCCCTTAATCATCTTAGTTGCTGTTCTTTGCATTTTTTCCAAAGTCTCAACATCTTTTTTGTAATGTGGTGACCAAAACTGGATGCCATACTCCAGGTGTGGTCTTATTAAGGCTTTATAAAGCAGTACTAATACTTCACGAGATTTTGATTCTATGCCTCTGTTTATACAACCAAGGATTGTGTTAGCTTTTTTTGGCTGCTGCCGCACACTGCTGGCTCATGTAAGTAATCGTCCAGTAGGACTCCAAGGTCCCTTTCACAGTTACTGTTTTTGAGCCAGGTTTGTTTCTGTACTTGTACCTTTGGTTTTCCTGCCTAAGTGTAAAACTTTGCTTTTCTCCACATTAAATTTCATGTTGTTGGATAGAGCCCATTGTTCAAGTCTGTCAAGATCTTTTTGGATCCTGAGCTTGTCTTCTGGGGTGTTGGCTATTCCTGCTAGCTTAGTGTCATCTGCAAATTTGATGAGTTCCCCTTCTATTCGCTCATCTAAGTCATTTATGAAGATATTGAAGAGTATTGAGCCTAAGACAGAACCTTGCAGTACCCCACTGTTCACTTCCCTCCATGTAGATATAGTACCATTAAGGGCTACTTGTTGAGTACAGTTTGTCAGCCAGTTACAAATCCATCTGGTGGTGATGTTATCTATCCCACATTTTTCTAGTTTAGCAAGAAGTAGATTGTGGTCTACTTTGTCAAATGCCTTGGTGAAGTCCAAGTATACTATGTCCACATCATTTCGCATCCTTCCGGGGTAGGTAAAATGAGGACCCAGATTGTTGGGGGCAATGTAAATATATATATACATTGCTTACTGGTGTACACCGCTTAGAGAGTGCTTGCACTTAAAGCGGTATATAAGTCTCATAAATAAATAAATAAATAAAATCTATTTTAACAAACCTGTGCTGGCTACTAGTTACAACTTTATTTGTTTGTAGATGTTCACAGATCTGGGTTTTTTCCAGTATTTTAAGTTAGTTACACAGTTGTAAAGTGAATTTGGTTTCCCCATTGGCTTTGTTTGCCAGAAGGTCTCAAAGATCACAAGTCCCTACACTGCAACCATCATAAATAAGAGCCAGTTGACAAATGTCTGAACTTTGGATCATGTGACCATGGGGATACGGCAATGGTCATATGTGTGAAAAAACAGTCATAGCTCACTTTTTTCAGTGCCCTTGTAACTTTGAACAAACTGTTATAAGTTGAGGACTATCTGGATGTGGTTTTATCACATTCAGCAACTAATCTTCAAGTCCACATTTGTGCAAAACATTTTGTATTTCAAGCCTATTTACTGTATCATTTTTTCTCCAAATAATAGAATAGAATAGAACAGAACAGAACAGAATCAGAAAGGGACCTTGGAAGTCTTCTAGTCCAGTCCCCTGCTCAAGCAGGAGAACCTATACCATCTCAGACAAGTGACTGTCTAGCCTCTTCTTAAAAATCTCCAGTGATGGAGAGCCCACGATTTCTGGGGACAAGCTGTTCCACTGGTTAATTGTCCTCACTGTTAGGAAGTTTCTCCTTAATTCCAGGTTGCTTTTCTCTTTGGTCAGTTTCCAACCATTGTTTCTTGTCTTGCCCTCTGGTGCTTTGCTGATTAATGTGACCGCCTCTTCTTTGTGGCAGCCCCTCAAATACTGGAATACTGCTATCATGTCTCCCCTATTTCTTTTTTTCTTTAGACTAGCCAAACCCAAGTTCTGCAGCCATTCTTCTTATATTTTAGTCTCCAGGCCTTTGATCATCTTAGTTGCTGTTCTCTGGATTTTTTCCAAACTCTCAACATCTTTTTTGTGATATGGTGACCAAAATTGGCTGCAGTATTCCAAGTGTGGTCTTACTAGGATTTTATA